AATTATTAATGTTATTGTTTTTTTAATATATATATATATATATATATATATTCCTTATATAGTATTAAATATTGTATTTATTGCATATGATATATATATAATTAAATTTACTAATTATATATATTAAATTTATGGATTTTCATCTGAAATATATACACACATCTACAACTAACAAGGTTTGAAATAATTAATATATAACTTTGTTTTTAAGCATGTAATTAAAGTTTAATCTCTGATTCATGTGCATGAAACAAATATGTTTTTTTAACAAATATGTTAAAAATATTAATCCTTAATTAAATATATTTTAGTGTCTTAGTACATGTTTGGAAAGATTAATTCTTAGCTTTCAATTTTATGACTGAAAAAATTATATATGTGCACCTACATCAATTTTTTCTTCTTATTGTTTAAAGCACTTAAAATCATATTGTAAATTAGAAAGAAAAAAAAATTAAATGTACGTGAACATAGTATATAATTAAAAATGATAAAAAAAATTATATATAAAATATGCTTTAAATAATCAAATTAAAAACATAATATTGGCTTAACCATAAATATTAATGTAATACTTATATAAATATATGTCAACGTGGATTAATATAAGTGGTTAAAGTTTGGCAATTGAACTTTTACTTTTTTTATTGTCACTTTTTCTGTTTGGTGGGTAACCCTCCCTTGCCCTGTAATTGGGTGGAGCTGCTCCTATTTTCTACCATTTTTCTTTTTAAAAAAATTATATAAATATATAATAATCAGTTTCTTTTGCTTATTTGGAATCGATTATTGTATTTATTAATATTAGTAGGGAAATACGCACTTCGTATCTCTATATATTTGTTTTTAAAAGAAATTTTTTTTGTTAAATTTAAGAGTAATAGTGTTTAATACAAAAATGAAAAATTATTTTTTTTAAAAAATTTAAAACCAAAACTTATTTCCCTTATAATTGGTATAAATAATATTAAATTAATATTTTAATTTGTATAATATATAAATTAAATATTTATTATATATAATTAAATTTTAAATTAATTTATATATAAATAAATACTATGTCTAAATATATTATATATAAAATTTGAATAAATAAATATTTTTAAATATATGAATTATATTGTAGGTTTATAATAAATAATTCATATTGTAGCATAAAATATTTTTAGTTATTGATAATTTATTTTAAAATATTAAAATTTAGTACATAAATAATTAATATAAATAAAAATCAAATTAGATATGAAATTAAGAAAATCTCTAAAAACTCTTTCGTAGAAAAAAATTCATAAAAACATTATCGTACAATATAGTTATTTTTGTTTTATATATAATAACTGATAATTTTAATAATATTACTATTAAATATATTTATTAAATTGAGTACATTAAACATATATTTTAAAAATTTATTGTTAATTAAACGAGTTAATAAAAAATTAATACCTCTACACATGTATATTAAAAAAATATTTTTCTTATTTTTTAAATTTAGTTTATAAAACATGTTTTAAAAGAAATAATTTATATATAAATTAATAAATATAGATGAATTTTAAACATTTTACATCTTTTATTCAAAAATAAAATATAAAAGACAATATACTAGGAAGTCACAATACCACAATTTAATTTTTAATTATCAACTTTAAAATATGGATTAAGTTTATAAAATAAATAAAAAATAATAATGTCAAAATAGAAGAACAAATAATAATAGAAAATTTCTACATACTCAACAATTTTTAAAGAATTTTAATACAGTCCGATAAATTTACGACCTGTCATCATATTTAGTCATGTCATCATTTTACATTCTAATACTAAAAATTATTAATCATTCTAGTTCAAAAGTAATGCAAAAAAATAAGACTTTATTAGGCTTAAGTCTGACGAATCTTTGGTACAAGTCAACACCAAAATGCATAAAAACTCGATAGTAAGTGATTTTTTTCTTTAAAAATAACTTAGACAGAGTCAACCAGGTAAAACTTGGTATACATGGAGTTTGTGAAAGAATTTAGTAAGGGTTCTTATGCTTTGATCTTCTTCTATGTGAAGAAATTAATGTAGAGTTCCAACATACAACACCATTTGATCTTAAAGCCGCATCCATCCATCTCCTACCACAAGCTTCAAACTTCCTCTGCTGTGAAGAATCATGTGTAGCATTCAACACCCTTCAATCCAAAAATCATGTGTTGCATGATTGAAGAATCGTAACCTCAACAAATCCAATAGAAAAATTGCACTTTCAATATATAATGACAAATTCAATAATTATTTTTATTTTATTTTAAAAATATTAAACAAGGAGTTAAAAATAAATAATATGAAAATTTTAAATAAAAAATAAATTTTATTTAAAAAATTAATGTGATTGTGTATTTATTTTATTGGTTCTTATGAGAGAAGGTAATGAAACTCCTTCATCTTTAAAGTTACGGCAGCGATTAGAGACTTACTTAGTTGTGTTTCCGACTTTCGATTCATAAATTTCAGTGCAGTCCTTGATGATGATTCTGCTTCAGCTTCATTGAGGCTCAACTTTCTTCTACGTGTGGAATCCATTCACAGGAGTCAACAAACAAATATCTTTATCAGTTATCACCTATTGCGTCGGATATTTCTCGGAAGAATACAAGTACAGTCATGTTCGACTAAGATTATTGTGCTATCCTACTCGATATGCTCAACAGAAAATGGTGATATTGTTGGAACACATTGCAGAACTGGATTGGTGAAGTTTGATGACAAGGGACAACTGCTAGAGTGTTCCATATAGATCTGCAGTGACTGTTAGTCTCTATTTTCACTCCCTGTAACACCAAGCAAGCCGAAGAAGATGACTAATTAACAATATAATAACCAAGAAGAAGAATCATGTTGTGAAATATTTTGGATATTCCTATACTATTTTCTCGTTACTCATCCTTTCTTTATGATTTATGATTTTTTCTGTTATAGTATGGCATGGAAGAGTAATAGACATAATGATGCTATTACTCTCTTATTATTGTGCCATTTATATCTTTCCACTTCTTGACGGTCTAATGAATTTATTGCATTGCTAGCATGATATATATGTAGCAAAATATTAATATTAAATTAGGGCAATCAATTGATAGCTGATGACACTATTAATATGAATCGGATACTATACCATTAATGGTAAAGTCTAATTTAGTCTAAACTACATCACAACATTTTGCAAGGTCACATTTTGAATTTGATGTTGTAAGCACGTAGACACTTGTGTTCGTTACCTATTGTGTCGGGCCGCAAGTTTTATCTACTTTTCCGTGGGTTCGAAAGGTGTTTGTTAGAAATACGTCTGCCATGCCTAACCACAACTTTAATCCAAGTCTTTTGTGGATACTTGGAGAATTGCTCAACCTCTTTGTTCTAAGGAGTAACAATTCAATAGAAATATAGGTGCTGAAAGAAAATAAAGTGTAGTCATCTTGGACTAAGACTATTGTTATGTCTCTTAATGACTTTTCTATTCTATTCTTTCTTCCCATATGCTATACAAAAAGTGGTGATGTTGTTGGAAAAAATGCCAGAATTGGATTGATAAAATGAAATGACAAGGGACGACAACTACTAGACCATCGATTCTATAGTCTCGGTCGATCTGGATTCAGGGTGGCTGTGTATAAAGAGTCTATCTATACTTTCACTGCCTTGTCACAACATCAAGCAAGTCGGAGAAGATGATTAACATTAGGAAACAAAAAGAATTAGGTTGTGAAATATTTTCTGATTCCTTCCTTAATTTTCTTGTTACATGTCTGGTATTGTGATTTATGAATTCTCCTGGTATATAATGTTGAGATACAAACAAGTCCTACTTCGATAAAATAAGACAAGAAATAACAACTTATATAGCACAAAAATATTTCAATATTAGAGAAGTCTTTTGGGTAATGACCAAAAGCAAAACTGTGAGGAGTTAGACCTAAAGCAGGTAATATCTTATCATTGTGAAGTATACTTGTATAATAACCTTATAAAAAATAACCCTCACCCCAATAGTGGTATCAGAGTAGGGATGGCAATGGGGCTTCATGGGACGGGTAATAGTAAACTCGTCCCCGCCCCGCGGGATGAAAATTGGTCTCATACCCATCTCATATCCGTGCAGGTATATTCATTAAGTGGGTATCCATGAATTTCTTGAATACCCACGGATATCCATAGATATTTATAAATTTTTTAAGAAATTTAAAAAATTATTAGAAATAATTTTAAGTTTATATTTAATATCATTGAAATATTAAAAATAAAAATTCAATGTTAATTTTGAACTTGTATTTAACGTTAATTTTGTTGAAATAATAATAAAAATGCAAGATAATCAATAACTTAAAATACATCAATCTCACAAGTGAAAGTCTCATATCAGAAAGCTACAATAATTCAATCTCATAATTCCAAACAAAAAGTAAACAACTTAAAATACATAAATCTTATTGTAATGACTAATGTGTGGGCTGTGCGTTTATGGAAAGAAAATAAGATGAGAGAGTGTAGTTTTAGGGTTATGTAGTACAAGGATAATTAAGATATTTAAGAAATATTATTAAACAGGTACCCGCGGGTATGAATATCATCATACCCGCCCCCACCCCGTTTATAAATGGGTAAAAAATTATTCGTTCCCATTATCTGCAAGTACCCAACTAACCTATCCATTTATTATTCTTAGCAATTTTTACCCACAGATACCCGCGAGTGCGGGTTTTTTAACCATCTTTATATCGAGCCACCTGGTTAGATGCAGTAACAACCCTCATAACTCATATTCCGCTGTATGAAAGGTTAGGTCCCTTGTTTGAGAGGAGGATTGTTGGGATACAAATAAGTCCTACATCGATAAAATAAAATAAAAAATAACCACTTATATAGCACAAAAATACTTCAATAATAGAGAGGCCTTTTAGATAATAGCAAAAAATAAAACTGTGAGAGCTTAAGCTTAAAACGGACAATATCTAATTATTGTGAAGTATGCTTATGTAATAACTTTATAAAAATAATATTCATAAAATATCTTCTCAAATAAATATCAATAAAATAATCTCATCTTATAAAGCATGCAAAAATATAGGCAGAAGATAAAAGTGTTATTTCATCATTATTCCATCATTGTGTTATTGGTTTGTTCATGTTTGCAATTTATATCATTTCACTCTTTCACAGGCTTTTTAGATTAGCCTCAATAGTGAATATATTGCATTCTTAGCAAGATACGTGGCCAAATTTAAAGTTGGAACAATCAGTTGATAGCTGCTAACAACCTATTGATATGAGCCGGATATAACATTTCTAATTCAGTCTTAAGCTATATTTTATAAACCTTGGCTTCCGTGCCAAATTAAAAGTGTTTATATCATAAATTACCATTACTTTGATGAATCCATATTTTATCAACATAAATTTGCTCTTTTATTCCATGTATTGACACGAATGTGAAGTAACCAACCTAATAAAACATTTTTTTAATCTTTTTTAACAACATTATTCATGCGAAAAGTTAACAGTTTTTTTTTCTTTCAACGGGATATTCTCAACATTTAGAATATCAAATTTGATTTCATTTTGCTTTGATTTTATGCACTGAAATTAAAATTCTAGGAAAAAGCAATATATTATGAAAGATAGTAAGGATTAGAAATGGTAGTTCCATTCTAACCCATTCATTCCATTCAAATGTCTAATAAAATCTTATTGGACTTTCAGGCTTTTGTTAAAGCCTGTAATGCCTGTCGTGACAATTTATTCTATATTGAATATAACTACGAGGAAGAGTAACATTTTCCATCCTCCACCAAGGTACACAATATTACAATCAAACATCACATTATAAGATTTCTCATTTTAGATGTTTATCAAACCAATGTAACGTGATTTGATGAGCCTTATCTGCAGCCTTCACAGCTTCTGGATCTTCAGTGTCGTACCTCACAGTCCAACCATGTGAAACGTTAGGAAATATTTTTACAAGGCTATCAACCTGCACAAAACAAAAATGGTACACAAGAGATAAAGTGCATACCCATTAATGACCATAAAAATAAACTACGTTTCACATGGGGTACCTAAAAAGTGTCAAATTATTTGCCAATTCTTCTATCAAATACTTTACTTTTTGACTCCTTAGACATGTCTACCAACATAATGGTGTGAAAAGAACGAGAAAAGGAGATAATTAACGTATTTTGGTATCAAAAATTAAGATACTAAATATGAAATTCGTGTTAAGTGATAGATAGATGGATCCAGTCTAACTTGTCCATACCACCTAAATTAAGAAAGATTAACACAACATCTTGTAATTAACTGTGTGGTTACCGATTACAACAAAATGATATCATAAGCAAATCATCAAGGTAATATAAATTGATAGTACATAACCACAAAAAGAAAATAAGATTCATCCGACCTCAGGTTTAGCATCTAGGACTTGCTTAAATTGTTTTATAGTACTTGGAGGAGTAATTGTGTCATTCTGAGCTCCAAGTATAGCAATTGGAACCTCAACGGCTGAAAGTAATAAGATCAATAATTAACTGTTAGAATACAAACATCTCAGTCACTTCGTTAAGAAATTCCTTCTGATCGCTTCTTCTTTATCTCAATTTATTAAACTATGTCGAAAAGGTAAGTTAAAGAGTGTATATTCAAAAAGCTCCCAATAAAATGTATTCATTGCATAAGAATTAGAGACAACAGGATAGGAGATTTTTAAAAAAAATTCTAGATACACACTATCATTACAGGTTTTGCTCATCTTTCAAACAAAAAATATACTCAATAATCTTGAAATTTATAAATCATCCTTTCATCCATCCATCAAGTGGGATATGGCAGTTGGTCTAATCCAAAATTTTCTCTAAATCTATTTCTATATTAAAATCAAATATCGGGAAAAATGTTTTGTTTTGCTAAATTTTTATAGGAAAACAATTTATCAGCCAGAAGTACCCCCATGGAATTTTGATTATAAGCTTTTCCAAAAACAAAATAAGTTAATAAAAACATTTATTAATTGTAATTATTATGATAGAACAGTAACTTAATCTCTGATAAGAAAAGAGAAAGAGAACCAAGACAGATACAATAACTGATAAAGAATATTATTTATAACTTAGTCATAAAATAGAGTTGTCTAACACTCCGTAGATATTGGTAAGCTTGAAGACAAATATGACTATTTGGGAAGGGATGCACTTCTTGCATTAAAACATGTTTAAATTGATGCACGACAATTGACAAGAAGGTATGACAGAATTACAATACTTTTTTCCCCTAAGAAGATACTATGGGAACCCTAAACAAAGAATATGTAAATACCAAATAATCTAGACATTGAAAATTCATACCACTGATGTCATCCTTCTCGACATATGCTGGATGTAATAGCACAGAAGTTTGGACAAGAAGTTTAGATTTGCTAAGGTCAGACACCGTCTTACCTGAGAAAAAAGAAGAAAACGTATTACATCCCGTGAGTTTATAGTTTATACCTATGACAACCTGAAATTGCAATGTGCACCAAAGAGGGGTGATAAAGAAATAAAGAACACCAAATAAGTGAAAGGCACTCACCGCCCCAACAAAAACCAGCAGCTCCAATAGAAGAAGCACCTTCACTTTTTAAGGCTTCAATAAAGGGTTTTACAGTTTCAAAACCTTTTTCCTACAAATACAATAGGTAAGAAACTAAGCATCACAATGAATTACTATTTACAGATAATTCACAGTTTTTACTTTTCCTACATCTGAATTGAAGAAATCATAAAATTCAATTTACAAATCGGAAACCATCTAAGATGGTGGCGAGCCAGTAGCAAAAATGATGATAAAATTACAGAAGCCAAACATCTGAATCCTCTTCCAAATTTTCAAAGAAGGACACCAAAATTGAATTCAAGATAGAAAAAAAATTCTTGCTAAAAAATTCATAAACAAAACCAAGTATCGTTAAGTAAGAAATAACCGGTTCATGATCTTCTAACCAAACAGGTAAAGGCCTGTTCTCATTCTCGGGATCAAAGGGATCGTCATTGAACATGTCAGGACAGTAGACACGATATCCACCTTTAGCTGCAAACTTGTCTGCAATCTCCCTTCACAATATATAACAAATAGTATTACTTATCAGGGGAGCATATTACATTTGGTATCATAGAGAGACAGAGAGAGAATAGGCAATGAGAGCAGATCAACAGAATGAAGCAGCCAATTCTCTAGTGTATAACATACCGAAACATAAATTAAACTGTGAAAGCAAAAAGGGACATCCCAGCTGAAAATGCACCAATGGAGATTAAAAATGTAGTTATCATCTAACATTCTATATAAAGTCTATGACATTACTTTTCATGAACCACGACTGAATTAACTACACCAACCATACATGATACATGTAGCTTTCGATCATTCCCCAACCAAAATTAGAAATCCATCACTGTTAGCTGAAGCACATGAGCTTATGGTTTACAGAGGACAAATTGTTTTAATTAGAATATAATGCAGAATATCCTTTTTGAAAAACATTTAAATTCTTATGAGCCTATATATGAATGCACAATAGAATCCAAGAAAACATAGATTTGCTCTGGAAGAGAAGCAAACGACCAAATTTAACCAAACTAAATGTTTCTAGTACTTGAACTTATGCCAATTTTACTTTTAGCCCTTAATTTTTTTTACTAGTTTTAGTCTCTTAATTTTTGGCTGACTTTCACTTTTAGTCTATTAATTTTTCCTCTTGTTAACATTTTGGTCTAGTGACATCAAGATTTTTTTTTTATGATAGAAAACTTTAGGGGTTAAAACTAAATAAAATTTGTTCAAGAACTAAAAATGAAAATCGAGAAAGTTTAGAAACCAAAAATATATTCACTCAAATTTAAATAATAAGGCATAAAAAAGCAAAAATGAGATAGACATGCCTGAAAAGTGGTGCTTTATATCCTGCAAGACAAATTGAGCATATTAAGTTAAAAGAAGATATTGGTTGAAGGTAATAACTGTTAAAAACAAACAATAGATACACCAAACAAGGAATTAAGCAATGTTGGTGTGTGTGCAACTGATAAGTGATAAGTTACAGCAAAATCGAAAGCAAACCACAGATACACCAAACTGAATTAGTTAAACAGAGTAAAGTAGCATTCTCATTCTCTTATGTTGTTTCTATTTATAAATAAAACACAGAACCATACAAGGAATGAGTCACAAGAATAAGCGTTGACGATGACAAAAGAAGTTGAATGAATACCAAAAATATCAGAGATGAGAATAATGAGGATGATGGCGTTAGGGGAACCAGTGACATAGGAATTAAGACCAGCAATATTGGTAACATAGCCAACACCACTTGAGGAATTCAGGATTGGCGGGTTTGAGTGGCATTCTCTTCCTAACATTTTTCTCTCTAATTCTTATGCTATGCTAAGCGCTAACATTCATGCTTCATTCGGCTTTTATTTATAACCAGAAAAAAAAAAAAAAAAAAGATACTTTGTTAAAAAATAAAAAACTTATTTTGGTAGTTTGTATGTTTATTAAAAATCATGTATAATTATTATAAATAAAATGAAAAACTAAAAGCGGACACTATTAGTATAAATAATCAAAGTCGCTGCCCTGAAAGTGAAATGAATTCATAAAGAAATATTAATTTGATTGACTCCGTCCGCCCCAAGATACACCTGCTATAGACTAAATAAAACAACACTAATTTGTATTTGTACCAAGAAAATAATACTATTTTTATAATAAAATATTAATTAAATATCAATATATTTTCAAATATTTATATTTTAAAATGGTACAAATAAGTTTTTTTTTTAATATAAGTTTTGCTAATCGGTATTTGTGACAACTTGACAAGTCATTAAACTTAATATAACACAATATTACATTTAATGTAAAATTATAAAATAACTATGTTACTCTACGACTCTTATGCAATAGCTACCTAGATATACACGCAAAAGTTAAATGTATAAAGTATAGAAAACTTAAAACAATTTTTACTAATGCAATTGAAAATATAAAACCCCTTAAGAGATTATATACATACAATTTACATATATACAATATATATGTAATATACTAAACTGTTAACAAAATAACTTTATCATTATCTCTATACAATAAAATTACATAAGAGCAGTGCCACCAAAATCAGGTCATTTATAGCATGACCCTTCACCAAAAACATCCAAACCAACCTGTTAATCTTGACATGTTTCCATCAGAAATTTTAACATGAAGTAGTATGAAAAGAGGTACATCAATGAAACATTATTTTTAACCGTTAGATTTAGTAATAAAATAATCAACAGTTCAGATTTGCTACCTGTAACTTGTTTATGAAAAATTTTGTATTTTGCATATTAGTCCCTGTTTAGGATTACTGTTTTGGCCGCCGGTGGGTGGTGAGGACGAGGAAAACGACGACGGCAAGTGCGACGACAAGGTCGTCGAGGGAGAGCCAAGGGCAGGGAGGGCCGAATTTGGAGGTGGCGAGGTTTAGGGTTTAGGAGAGGCCTTGGGAGAGTTGAACACCGCGGACGACGGGGAGGGGGAAGTAGCGGTAGAGGAGGGACATGAGGCCGGTGGCGCCAAGGAGGAGGAGCACGCGCCTCCGCTGCCACCACGCGAAGAAGGAGGCCGCACCTCCAGGCATGGCAACAGGGCGGGGCGGGGGCTTTAAACTGCCCCCGATACCTGCCGGGGGTAAAAATCTAGGTCCCCATCCTCGCCCCCGGCGGGGTTCGGGTTTCCCCGCCCCCGCTCCTTTTTTTTTTTCTTTTTTCTTTTAAATAAATATGAACACTTTTTAAAAAATAAAAGAAAATAAAAATAATATAAATTTTTACATATAAATATTTCTAATTTTGGTTTATATATATAAATAATATTTTAATTATATTATTAAGCGAGGCGGGGCGGGGCGGGGCGGGACGGGTATTAACATCCCAACTCCCGATTTTATCAATCGGGGAAAAGCCAAACCCGAACCCGATAAACACGAGTTTTCCCCGTCCAAATCGGGGCGGGTTCGGACGGGTACCCACGGGGCAGGTTAGATTGTCATGCCTACGCGCCTCCACTACCATTGCACGAACGAACTTGCGCTTCTGCTGCCACTGCACGAAGGAGCTCGAGCTTCCGCATTACCACCACGCGAAGGAGGCTGCGTCTTTGCTGCCACCAAGTGAACAAAGTCGCGCTTCCGCTACCACCACGTGAAGGAGCCCGCACCTCCGCGTTGCTACTACGCGAAGGAGGCCGCGCCTCCGCTGCCACTGTGGGAGCGAAGTTGCGCTTCCGCTGCCACTGCGTGAACAAAATCACGCCTTCGCTACCACCACCGTGGAAGGAGACGACCTCTGCTGTCATCGTGCCTCCACATTGCTTTCGCATATAATATAAGGACTATTTTGTAATTTTAAACAAGTTGAAAAACCTGCTATTACAGGTCATTTTACTGCCTCATGGATGAGGCATTTCTTTCAATGCTTCATGTAAGAATCGTTTTCTTTCCATATCAAATATGATAATTGTAGTTCCAACCACACAGAAAATAAAGGGTAAACTTGTGAATGGTTCAACATATCAACTATATACATGTACTACTTATGTTACACCAACAACTTAAAGACATCCAATTATCATCAAAAATCATAACTTTCAATCTTCATATACAACTTACAACATAAACATGTTGTGCACCGAGAGTTTCCATACACATTGTCTCCATATTAGTAAGATATTGTTCAGTTTGGATTATAGTTTTACTTTTGGTCATCACCCAAAAGGTCTCCAATCAATGAAGACAATTGTGTATATATAAATTCATGTTCATCCTCTTGTTTGAACGATGTGAGACTTTGCTTGCATCCCAATGATTGTTCCCTCAAACAAAGGACCATAGTTTACCCTCCGACGAAAGCTATTAGTCCACAAGTATATATGATGGTAGCCATAGGGTTTAGTCACACTCTAAGTACTTGCATCGTCGCTCCATCGTGTTAACTCACGACAACGAGACATGTCTCCTAGCTCTCATGTTATCAAGGAGACTCTCTTCCAAACATGGATCTACCATTAGAAGACTTTTGTGGACCCACCATCATGTTACCAAGAAGAGTCACTTCCACACATGGATCCACAAAAACTTTCGTGGACCTACTATTAGAAGACTTTTGATACAAGAGATCCTATACCCAAATCCACTATTAGAAGACTTTTGATATAAGAGATCCTATACTCAGATCTACTTGCCAGCTCCATCATACTCGCTAAGTTGGTAACCTAGTCAAACTAACAACTCTAATACCCTTTGTTGTGCACTATGGATTTCCACACATATTGTTTTCACATTGTTAAGATATTGTCCATTTTAGGCCTAAGCCTTCATAATTTTGCTTTTGGTCATCACTCAAAAGGCTTCCAACTAATGAAGACAACTTTGTGTATATAATCATATGTTCATTCTCTTATTTGAACAATGTAGAACTTTGCTTACATCCCCACACAACATTGTTAGCATACACAACTTTTTGTCACAACATAAATAACTTTAAACAATTAATACATCATCACACATATCAACTATGGAGATCCCCTCCAACAAAGGTAAGTAATTTAAGTGGTCAGACTCCATCAAACCACAATATTTGATCTATCACAATCAGATCAAGTATAAATAATGTTAGGTCTCTCAAAGTGTCAGGTATACAACTTAAAACTGATTTCTCAAATTTCAGCACTTAAACTAAGAAAGTTTATTACTATGTCAAGATAAAACAACTTGCTTTGTGGACCTACCACAACCTTAATATACATATTTAAGTCTCATATGAAATTAGTCGGTTGACTACTTTCAAATACTACATATCTTTTCGATAATCAATTAATATATAAGGATTGATTAGTTAAGAGATAATAAATTTTTTTCTATAAACAATTACCATACTGTTGCAATAGAAATTAGGTTGATATTTTAGCAATACCGTTCTAGGAAAAAAATCAATTTATTAATTAGTTTTTTAAAGACATTCGTTGACATTATTTAAAAATATTTTGTTTTATTTTGTTAACATCAAGACGTATGAGATTGATAGCGATTTGATTTTGACTTCAATTAAATGAATAAATACGGAAAGTGATATTTTAACTTTGTTTAAAATAAAATAGAAATTATTTGATAATTTTGTTTTTAAGTTTTAAAGTTCATTTCGAGTTGAAACTTTCTTAACAAATTTAAAATTTTAATTTATTTAAAACTAATTAGCTCATTTATTGGAAAAATATATTAAAACAAATAAAAATATTATGTAAAATTAATTTAATTAAAAAAATATCTAAGTGAAACAACTTAAAATACATACATGGCTTAATATGAATATATATATATATATATATATATTAAAATTTTAATTTTAAAATACTATTTTAATCCATAAAATGTAATTTTAAAAGGAATTATAAGTATTTTATTATATAGTATTAATTAATAAATATTTAAGTATTAATTAAATATTTAATTTATTGTAAATAACGAAAGATTTACGTGATTATATCGCTTAATCAAGAGATTAAAATTCAAATATTATTGAAAAATGTAGAATTTCAAGTTGAAAGACGATATTCATCTATTTAATATATGTCAAATTTATAAGGGACATTAGTCTTTTAATTTGTGAGCAATATTCCTTAGTATTGAAAGAAAAAATTAAAAACTAACTATAGATTAAAATTCTTAAAAAATCTGAAAAATAAATTTAATTCAAAAAAATATAAATATTTTAAAATACCAAAATTTCATTTACCATATTATTACTTTTTTTTTGCAATGAAACTTTATTTCATGTTATAAATAAATTTAATTTTTATTTTTAAAAATGAAAAATTATTATAATTGATAAAAAAAATTAAATATGACTTACAAATATTTTAAAATATAATGATTTGTAAATAAATTTAAGTATTGATTAAAAAGGATAAAATATTTAAAATTACTATATTATTTTTATAAGATACAAAATATTTTGTTTAACTATTATTCAGTTATATAATATATTTAAGTCAAAATAAATAATTAGGTTCGGCACTTCATTAGGTTCGGCACCTCTACTGTATAGCTAAAGTAAACTATAAATAAGTAAATTAATAGATTTTAACAGATCATTGACATCTATATGCATTTTTATTTCCTTCTTAATTACTTTTTTTTAATAGGAAGTAGCACTTTTAACTTTCTTTTTTTCAACTATATTTTACCTCCCTTTTATTCATTCTTCAATGTGAAATCAAGACTGATGTATCACTTTATTTTTATAAGATCAATTTAATAAAAAGAAGTTGTACTTTTTTTACTAAAATAATATTAATATATTCAATTGTCTTCTTTATCTTTAAAATTTGGTATCATTAAATTTATTATAATTAAAATTCATAATTAATAAATAATTTTAAAATATAAATTATATTCTAAATTATGATAAATAATTTATATTGGTATATAAAGTTATTTTAATTATATATAATGTCTTTTAAAAAATATTGAATTTCAATTTAAATGTAAATGATGAAAAATGATAAATTAAAAGAAATAAGCAATTAAAAAATAAATATACAGACAAAGATAAGAGAAAAACTATTTAAGATAATAAAAAAACAATTTAAGCTAATCGTTAAATTCAATTGAACTTAAAATTAAAATAAAAGTATATTTGAAAGAAAAAAAAATGGTCAATATATGAAATTAATATAAAACATGCTCCTTCGTAAAGTTAGGTCTGTTAGTTGATTTGGATATAATCTAATAAAATAAAGAATTTAAACTAAATCAATTAAATTAAGTTATTTTTTTCTTGATTACATTAAATACGATCCAAATTAAGTAAATCTAATCTTTATTTAATTTGAATCATGAATTTGGACCACTAGGGTTAGTTTAGTGGTTGGGTGGGGAGAGGTTAGGGTAGTTAGAAGCACGAGAATCTAGGTTCAATTCTCATTGCGATCATCTTTGTAATCTTTCTTATCTTTAAAAAAAAATCACGAATTTGTAATAAGTGATATATTTTTCACTATATTTATAGTCTTTTTGAATTTAAATGTTAGTTGCAATTCTTAATTTTCATATAAATTCAAATGTTAATTGCAATTCTTAATTTTCATATAAATTTAAATGTTAATTGCAATTCTTAATTTTCATATAATTGAATTTAACGTTACAAGTTTCAAGTCTTAAATGAATTCAAAAATTGATTTAAAATCATATCGCAAAATTGAAAATGATCATTATTTTGAAAGCAATAACATGACTTAAATATAAAATATAAATAATCAAAATAAACATTTTAATAGATAAGAGACTAAAATAAATATAAAAAATAAGATAAAAGATCAAAAATATAATTCAATCATTTTTATTACTTAATTACTTTCATTATTTAATCTCAAATTTTTATTTTATTTTTAATTATTTTAAATAAAATATAGAGAAGCATAGTACACAAATTTTTGCGAGATTATAATTGTTTAGTTGAAATTCGTAGATGTAGGTGGAAGTCCATGAATTTCAAACGTATTTTCATACCTATAATATACAAGATAATTTTTTTATATATAACTAAAACTTATATTAAATAAATATTTTAATATATTAATTATACCATAATTAAATTTTAATATAGATAAATAACTTATAAAAAAATATTTAAAAAAATTTTGGTGTCATGAGAAAAAAAAAATAGACAAAAACAACTAGAAAGAAAGGAAATTAGTGTAGGGTTTAGAGATCCTTCTCATACACTTAAAACACAAAATCTGGAAGACTCCTCCATATTACATGTTGAACCCCCAACCTAACTCTTAAGCTTGCCAGAACATGAGATAAATAATTACTCTCTCTCGGGATCCCAGTAAACGAGAAAGATTAATCAAATAGTCCATGCCCTTATTTTTAACTAATAATAATTTATTTTGAAAATTAATTAAAATTAGTTTAAAAATAAAGATGAAAAACATAAATCAAAAGAGGTAAGTGATTAAAAATAAATAAATAAAACATATAAAATAAAATGAGAGTGGTTTGATATGGTTGAAAAATAATTTTTTAAGCTAGTTTTTATATCAAATTAATTAACACGTTGATTTCTCCTAAATAAGAATGACAAATAAACTAATGTATAATGCTCAAATTCATCCAAAATTTGATGAAAAATATTCGATTTAACGAGGTACATGTAATACCTAATTTATTAAAACAGATACGGAAATATATATCCGTACTCGTATTTGCTTTAAATTTATAGAATTTTTTTTTAATTACTTAATATTTATGTAATTATTACTTTATTTTAAATTTATGTCAAATAAAACTTAATTAATCTAATTAATAATGTATGTTGAAATTTTTATTTTTTTATAAAAATAATAAATTAATTTTTGAAGAAATACGAATATACTCAATACCTGAAAAAAATTAAGAAGATAGATATAAAGTATAAAAATAGAGACTGAGATGAGATAGTGAAACTCATATTTCCATCCCAACTCCCAAATTGCCCTCTTAACCAGGCTATGAGATGCCACCAACCATTCGAGGGGCAAAATGAGACATGACGTGTCACGTAGGCAAGGAGAAACTCAAACACATCACAATTTTAAGGGGTGAATCTAGCAAAGTTACAACAAAAGCCTTATTCCTCTAGCAGAAAATGAAGATAAGTCCACACACAATTTCTATGTTGTTTTATTTTGTAGTCCAAACACGTACATGTTCTTAGCATATAAACATTTCTCACTTAAGATGTTTAGCAAACCAGTTCAGCAAGACCTGATGGGCCTCCTCTGCAGCCTTCACAGCTTCTGCATCTTTCTTGTCGTACCTCACACTCCAACCATGAGACACTTTAGGAAATATTTTGACTAAAGAATCAACCTGCTACAATACAAATATCCCCTCATCAGTGTCTTAAACACAACTTTTTCCTCAATTCATTAATTCTAAACATGAATGAATTAATTCAAAAACTTGAATTGCAAATTGAATGCTAAAAATGAAATTTGAACAAAGCTAAACTACACATAGATGAATTAATTCCAACTTGTCTGCACGCATCAAAAACATAAAAGAAAAGGAGATAGAAAGAAAAAAGAATCAACATAGTTACCACAAAATAGTATGACTAATATCATTAGCAAAACATAAAGGTAATATAAAATGATGATAGATATCGACAAAAGAAAGGAAAGAAAATACGACCCCGGGTTTAGCAGTTAGGACTTGTTCAAACTGTTGCAAAAGCTCTGGGGGAGACATTTTGTCAATCTCAGCTCCAAGTATAGCAATTGGAATATCAACACCTGAAGACCAATAATTGACTGTTAGAATATGAAAATCTTTGTCACAGCTTCAAGAAATCTGCTAATCATTGCTCTTCCTTCTTTCACTATTTTGAATGATTCAGAAATGACAAGTGAATAAGTTGGTATGAACCAATCTTCAATAAAGTAGAACCAATGCATAATCAATTAAACCAACTGATTTTTAATACACTGTTGTAAACAATCAAAGAGATTTTTCAAATAAAAAGGTAAATTAAATTACCTTTAAGTAGCAAGTTGTTGGCTTTAAGAAATTGGAACATTGACTGCAACTTGCAATCATAGGCTATATAGAAACTGCATATTCTATTTCTTTCCCGCTTTTCTTAAAGTCAACTTTTCTCACATCTTTCCTTTCAACTAATTGAGAAAATTTCAAATTTCAAAAGGTTTCTTTCCTCTCGATTTTCTTTCTCTTCATTTAGGATAGGGATCCATTTAAAAATTCCAAAACAATTAAGGGACAAACAAATTAATTTAAAGTATAAAATATTCACCAAATTCATTTCTATCCTACAATCAAATGTTAAATGTAATGATTATGTGATACTTTCATAACAATAGATGCCAATATAATTTTACAAAAAGAGGAAAAGGATGAGAAAGCCAACTAGTCCCATGATAGTTGATGCACAATTACAGTAACCGAGGACATATTAGTGATAACTTTGTCATGAAAATATATTTGATCACATCAGCAATATGCGAAATTCACTGCAAGTCAGCGTGAAGCCAAATATCATTATTGTGTAAGTGATGCAAGGCCTCAGTCACATAAACATGCTTAAATTGATGGTATGATAAGATTCTGCAACATAATTTTGATGGTCATTCTTCCTTATAAGATCCAGAGTAATTTTTCATAAACAAATATGCAGATTAAGAAATAACCCAAATAGTGAAAATTCATACCCTTGATATCGTCCACAGAGACGAATGATGGATGTAATTGCACAGCAGCTTGGATTAGTCTGGATTTTGCAAGTTCGACCACAACTTTAGCTGTGGGAATGGAGAAAAGGGTTCAATTTGTGAGTTTGATTACTAACTTAAAATAAAAGCAATAATTATGCTCAAGAGGAGCCAAACTGCTATACAGTACTTACCCCCCCAACAAAATCCAGCAGCCCCAATAACCGAGACACCTTTACTTTTCAAAGCATCAATTATGGATTTTGCATCTTCGAATCCTTTGTCCTATTTGATACATGATGCATTACAATTTTAAAGAAAAAAGTCACAAAATTTTGATACATTTGATCCGAGATAATATAACGTTTGATCTACAAATCCTAAGAGGTTGCAGACTAGCATTCAATACATAGGACTCTGGCCAACCAAGTACTATGGTGTTAAAAACATCACATAAAATCACATTTGAATCCAACTGTAATCTTTTATAATCAGAACTATAGTGTCACCAAAGTTTCAATAAAATAAAATAAAATTATTTTAACATAATTCAAAAACAATTATATGCATAACCAATTATCAGAAAATAAGAACAAACCGGGCCATGATCTTTTAACCAAACAGGTAAGGGCCTGTTAGTATTCTCAGGATTATAGGGATCAGCATGGAAGAAGTCAGGAACAATCACATAATACCCAGCAGCTGCAACCTTGTCTGCAAGGTTCCTAAACATCAGTGAACAAACAGTGTTACTTACAGAGGTATACTACATTTAGCATCATAGAGAGAGATGGATACAAACTAGAAGCGCTTTTGAGAGTTTCTCCATTGAAAATAAAAAAATATTTTTCTGCAGAGAAACTATAAAAAAACGCTTCTAAATTTGTATAATTATATCCAAATAGACTCTTAGAAAACTACTAAAATAGAAATAAAAAATAGACATGAGATTTGAGAATTAGCCCATACCTTAAATTTGGTGCTTCATATCCTGCAAAACACATTGAGCATGTCAAGTTAAAAAATGATAATGCTAAAGACTAAAGCAGTTAAAAAATACGCACATACGATCAATATAATCAATTCAATATGGGTGTGTTTAGATGAGCGTTCAAAAATTGATTAAGTATAAAGTTGATTTTGAAAAGTGATGTAATTTTTATGTTTAGATATTTTTATTCTAAAAACAAGTAGAAAAACTTTTTTTTTATCCGACCTACCTAAAATTGTTTTATTGCATTTTTGGTAACAAGTCAATTATATTTAACAGTAAATCAACAAGAAACAACTCAAGCTTGCTTTTCTACCAATTTCCTCTTTTTGAGGTAATTTTAAGGGGTGACAGGGATCTATAACGCAAAACCAAATGTGCACTTATCAATTTTAGACCAAGAATCAATTCCTCAGCAGTCACCATGAAAACGAACATGAACATTTACGGAAAATCACTTTAAGGGTTTGATTGGTTTCACACTAAACATGTTCAAAATCAATTTTATTACATCCAAAATTATTAGAATCACGTTTGTTGCATATTTGATTATTAGCAAAATTAATTTCAAGATATGAAAATTCATCTTGGAAGCAACTATTAGTAATTTCTTTATCAGATAAAGCCAATATTAAAGTTTTATTTGCCTAGATTTACAGTTATACACTTAAAAACAATTCAGATAACAAATTTCCGAACAACATGCAGTAACAAAATCAAATCTATATCCCTTCTCGTCTAAAGGAAAACCACATTACTTTCACATTTAGACAAAATCAATTGTGTAAAAATTCAAACATGCACTATAGAAACCAAAGTTTACTCATAACATAAGATCTTCTTTTTTTCTTTCCGCAAATCAAACAGGGCCTCAATTACAAAAACCGCAGCAGGAAGCAGAAGAAAAAAACATGGTAACCCAAAAAAGCACAACGCAGAAAGTACCAAAAATGTCGGAGATAAGAAGAAGGGCAACATTGGAATCAGGTGAGCCAGTGAGGTAGGAATTGAGAGCAGCGAGTTTTTCAACGTGGCCAGCTCCTCCATTGGGGTTCAGAACTGGTGGGTTTGAGCAGCATTCAGGTCCTGACATTGTTATTGTTATCACTCGCAACAACCTTAGTTTCCCACACTAAAATTTCCTTGACTTTTCAGATAACGCTTCCCTTCCAGATGAAAACTGAAAAGGTCAATAAACAAAGAAAGAAACGGAATATTCCACCCAACAACTTTACTTCTGACTCACCACAATTATCTGGCTATATCTGCTCACACGCTTCACACTCACCCACCACGATTTTCTTTTCCATTTTACTCTATTTTGGATTATTATTATTTTTTTACATTTTTTAATAATTTTTATTTTTCTCTCAATTTAAGTCCTAGTTTATGTGAATTTTTTTTATACTATTAACTAATTCAAAATAATCGATTGAATTACTCACTTATCAATTTTTTATTTTTTTTTACTCAATACTCACCAAGTTACCACCCTAACTTTGTGGTTTGGTTAATTATAGAATGAAACGATTTTCACCCCTTCAATTATGAATAATAAAATACAGGCACCAATGACGTTGTTATGGTTGATGACAAATATGAAGAGAGAACAGGCGTAAACGTAATGTAAATGAGGCACGTAAGTTTTATTGTCAAAGCTGGGGGCCATGACATAAGTTTGAAAATTGGTTGGGTTTGAGCAACACTCTAACGTTTAAACTGATTGCTGCACAATACAAGGCACAGGCAAACTCATCGCTAATTTTAGCACTTGTTAACAGTGTTTCAAGAAGCCAAAGAAATTTTGGTTCATCTGAGGTAAAATATGATCCCATATCATAATAAATTGGCAACACATATCTCTTAACTTCTTGATAGTATAAATTTAAAAACAATAATTAAAATGTAACAGTCTCATCCAACATATTTTTTTGTTATTATTTAATATTTTATATATCTTTATGAGTTAAATGATTTTCTGTATTATTAGTATAAAAGTTTATACTATCGACCAATTAAAACCATTATCAGTATGAGTTTTAAGACAAATTTTTAAGGCCAATAAACTTGACAGTGTAAACACACAACTCCTTTTTCTCTATTTATAATCCACATAATCCAACCAGTTAAAAATATTAGCTCATAAAGGTCTTAAAATATGATTTATTAAGATCTCAAATCACATCTGTCCAACAATCTAAAATCACTGAAAGCAACATTATTGAAACAAAGTTATTTTATTTCTTTTATTTTTCTTTTATTTCACTTTCATCCTTAAACCAAAAAGGAGTTACATTTACGAATAACATAAAGAAATGTAGGCAACGTTAATTGAAAAAAGCAATTCCAAGGATTTGAGACCAAATGCAGTTGGCAGGAGCCATTGAATAATTAGTAAAACAAAGTTCACCCCCCACGGAGGAAACACAAATTTTTCCTTTCACAAATTATTCGGTTTAAAATATATATATATATATATATATATATATATATAAAAGAAACATACACAAAACATTTTACATAAAGTTATTAAAATATAATTTATTAAGATTTAAAATCACAATTGTCCAACAAACACAATCACCGAAAGCAACATTATTATGCTGATCTAGAAATAACAGTCACGTCCAACAGGTATTTTCTTGCAAACTACAAGTAGCATTTTAAATCCTCCATTGTACAATCTTAACAAGATTTCTCACTTCAAATGTTTAGCAAGCCAGTCCAGCAATTCCTGGTGGGCCTCCTCTGCAGCCTTCACAGCTTCTGCATCTTCGGTGTTGTATCTCACAGTCCAACCATGTGAAACTTTGGGAAATATTTTGACAAAACTGGCAACCTGCACAAAAAAATGTTCATGAGCAATATCTAAATACATGATAGATTTTTGTAAATGTGCAAGTTAAAGAACTCAATAAAAACAGACAATTTTTTTTTTGTTAATAAATTTTGCTTTACTGTACACTTGTAGACCATGTGTTAAGTTTTTTTTCTCACAAACACATAACAGCACAAAAAATGTGAAAAACTAAGTCGATTTGACTGCATATAGAATCTTGCAATTCATAATAGAGAGAACACAAAATATAACATTAGGAAATCATCAAGGTAAACAAAATCTGACCCCGGATTTAGCAGCGAGGATTTGTTCAAATTGTTTCACAAGCTCTGGAGGAGAAATTTGGTCAATCTCGGCTCCAAGTATAGAAATTGGAATATCAACACCTGAACATCAGACCAATAGTATAGTGTTAAAATATGAACATCTCAGTTGCTGCTTTAAGAAATCTGCTACTGATTATTCATTTTCTGTCTTTATTCAATCATTGAAAAATGAGTTTGTATGGAAGAAGCTCCGAATTAAAATAGAACCATTATACTGTTGCAAAAGAATAATAGACAACAGGAAAAGCCCAAAAAAAAACAAATATCAATGTAAATTACTCCTATAGGCTATGGCCTGGCTATAGAGCATGCATTGCATACAAAGTCCCGAAAATACTTCACCTTTATCTTATATATAGTCTACGAACAATTGAATTCCTAATTTTTTGCACTAACGTATAATCATTTGTATATTAATACAGGTGCATAACATATACATAAAAATAATTAACCACGAGCTTGTTGAGTATAAATATAAAGCAGGCATTTAAAACACAGTCCATTGTTGATGCAGTTGCAGGTATTTCTCATCTTTCAGACAAAACTTTTAATGATCCAACTACAATTACAATCAAATAATACATTTTGGTTTTACTAAATTTTTATACTAAATAGATTTGAGCTAAAACTTCTTTCTGAGGATTTTTAATGTTTATATGAAAACAATCCCAAACACGCACTAAATGTGATGATTATGATAATTGTATAAAAGTATATGATCCTGTAGCAAGTGACAGTAAACCTTTTACTCAAGATCATGCTTAAATTGACGGTAATAAGTAATAACAATTATCATTAAATATTTTGATATGTTTTGTTTTGTCATTATCTTTTGAACAAGAACCTACAACAAAATTTTAGTAGCCTTTTCCCCTTAGAATATGCTAAGAGACAAACAATAAACAAAGAAATTCAAAATACGGGGAAAAAAATAATTTAAATAATAAAAATCCATACTCTTAATGTCGTCCACAGAGACAAATGATGGATGCAATAGCACACCAGTTTGGATAAGTTTGGACTTTGCTAGTTCAACCACAACCTTAGCTGAGAGAAAGAAGAAAATATAGTACATTCTGTGAGTTTAGCTATTAACTTAGCTGCATTTAAAACTTCAAATCCAACCAATAAATACACCTAAGAGGATCTGAATCTGTTTTCAACATAAAAGGAAGCGGGGAAGCACAGAAAATAAGTAGGCACTCACCACCCCAACAAAAACCAACAGCTGCAATAGCTGAAACACCTTTGCTTTTTAAGGCTTCAATTATGGGTTTGGCAGCTTCAAAACCTTTGTCCTATTAATATAAATAGGTAAGTATCAGAGAATGTCACCATTTTGTATATCTGACTTGAGACAATTCATAATGTTTGTGTTTTATTTATAAATAAATAAAAATAAAAAAAAAAACATAAACAACCAAGTATCATTATGAATCTATATCTGTTTTTAGATTCTCAGGGCTTTCAAATGGGTATTTGCAAGCAGGAGAAATTTATCCTTCCTCATTTTGTGCTTCAGGCCTTGTGCTTGGCAGAGTTTCAGTGAAAAAATTTAATCCAAACCAGCTCAATACAAGAACTAACCGCTCCATGATCTTTTATCCAAGCAGGTAAGGGCCTGTTAGGATTCTGAGGATTAAAGGGTTCACCATCAAAGAAGTCAGGAACAACCACATAATACCCAGCAGCGGCAACTTTGTCAGCAAGTTTCCTTCACAACAGAGAACAGAATTATTTGCTGGAGAAACCATTACATTCATCATATAAAAAATGAGAATTAGAGAGATGTATTGGCAATCTAATTTACTAAAACCTTGAGAAATTTTAAGTGAAAAGGTAAATGTCCCAATGAACCAAATAATTATATCACAAATGCATAATCTATGGAACTAAAAACTCTAGTTATAATCAAACATATTATATACAGTTCACAGCATTGCTCTCACAAATCCTTCCTCTTGAAATGTCATTGATACGTCCTTGTTCATTTTTAGTGTTATAAAAAAAATAGATGATCACTTCCCCACTAAAGTTGAAATCTATCTCTGTCAGCTGAAGAATATGAGCAAGTAGTTTAAAAGAAGACAGGTAGGCTCAATTAATATAATCCAGAATATATTTTTCACAAACTTCATAATTGTCAATTAATATATATGTAGAAAACATGAATTTGCATTCCCCAGATATACATACCAGTTTTCACATAAGCAGGCATTGGATTTCAATCACCCAAAAAATAAAGAGAAAGAATCAAATGCGATGAGAGGTACACTACTTTGAATTCTAACAGAATGAAGCCAAAATAACTTACTCGAACAGATAACTAGACTATAAAATATAGCAAATTAGACATAGAAAACCGACATGAAAATTAACCATACCATACCTTAAACTTGGTGCTTCATACCCTACAAAGCCAAAAAAAAGAGCATCAAGTTAAAAAAAGATTTTGGTTAAAGGCAATAACTATAAAAAGATTATCTGTATACATTCAACATGATCAATTCAGTATATAAACCACAGCCATCAAAATGCTGGTATTTGTAGTTGTCAGTTGGACCAAGAAATCAAAGGCGTATAAACTCGTGCAAGAAATTCATAACCACACAAATAATAAAAAAAATCCAGAATATCATAGCAGTATGATATACTATCAAATGTCAAAGACAATTCCTCTCCCCAGCTTCCTAATATAAGATGTGGATCGTTAGTCAGCTCATGCCTTTTATGATGAAAATAAAAGCTTGAGTGATGATAAATCAAGGAAGCAGAGACGCTTCAAAATAGTAGTCACGACTGTTTAATGCATGTATACTCTAAATGAGCGTTTCATACAAATACAGATGATATGATTACGATAACGGATAACTAGATAAATTACAATATTTGCTCCATGTACATTAATTTTTTTTTATCCCGCCACGAGTATCTCCTAATTTATCGGGTAAGAAACTAATCTAACTCGCGTTACGGTGACTGTCCTAGTTTGATGAGTTTCTACACAAATAGATCGTCCCGCAAGATGTGATCACAGGTGTCCATGTATTTATACATGCATGTAGTGTTACTAGCCTATTCTTAATTTGATCTCTACAAGAAAACGGAGGTCCCCATGTGTGGGAATAAAATACGATAAGGAAGTGATTCGTAGAGTGAATTGCAGGGGAAATAGCAGAAGCAAATGTAAGTTTAAAAAGAAAGAAGGGAAAGATA